GAGGCAGGTCCCGCCAGGTGACCCCTGGGGTGTTCATGTCTGCGTGGGGAGCGTGGGCCCCTCCTCCCCCCCCTTTCACAGGCAAGGTTTGTGGGGGGGGCTGGGCCAAGGCCACGTGCAGCCAATAGGGTTGAAAGGCAGCCAAATTACTTTCACAAAGTGTCAGATTTCAACGCTGGAGTGTTTTGTCCTGCCAGCTCCAGAGGTTATTTTGAGAAGATCCAGGCTGGCTTCTCAGGGGATCACACGTAGTAGCTGCGTGTTGTCGCCACACTAATCCCAGCGAACTGGACTTTAGTGGAGCCCACCCCTGAACGGGTGAGGTGTCTGCCAGGAGGTGACCCCCCACCCCTGGCCTCTTCCGTGGTGGCCTCATCGGGAACACCCGTGGGGCCGGGAAGGAGGGTCTGATTGCTCCATGACCCCCCTTGGGCCCCTGGCTGAGGTGCAGGCTTTGGGGTCTTTGAGTCCCAATGTCTTCCAGGTTGGGCAAGCGATTAACCATTGGAGCTGCTTGCCACCAGAAGTTGTGGGTGCTCCAACCCTGGACTCTTTTTAAGAAGAGGCTGGACAGCCACTCGCCTGGGATGGTACAGGGTCTCCCACTTGAGCAGGGGGTTGGACTAGAAGACCTCCGAGGTCCCTTCCCACTCTGTTGTTCTATTAAATGATACGCCTGCAGAGTAGGCTGCCGTGTGAAGCAGCGAGCTCTTCTTGGGCCAGGGTTTTTAAGCGGACGCCGTTTGGGCCTCTCTCAGAGTTGCTCTAGAGATCCTACACTATGCAGAGAGTAGGTCTAGATGGCCTCTAAAGAGCCTTCTGACTCAATGCGCAATCCTTGCGTCTGGTTTTGCACTACAAAGGTACTGTGGTAACACATAACAGGTGTAACCTGCAACGTTGCAGGGACTGATATAAAACGTTGCCTTTATAGCTGCACGGCGTCCCTCAGGATCCGTTTTTGCCAGCCACGCACACACCAGGCCTTTGTGGATCTCTACCGCGGAGATGAACACAATTCAAATAACACGTGTGCAGAATCAGTTAGGCTGCTGGTGCCTACGGTATTTTTGCGCCTCTAAGGTTGTGTCATGCAGAGCAGCAAGGAGGAAAATTAAGGTACCAAGATCAGGTGAAATGTTTGTGTTGTTTTATACTGCACTGATCAGTCCACACTTGGAATTCTGCGTGCCCTTTTGGTCACTGTGACACAGAAAAGAGGTTGAGGCTTTACAAAGAGTGCTGAGAAGAGGCTAAAATACATGAGGAACAATTGCAGGAATTGGGTCCATGTAGTCTAGTCTAACATGGAGAAGGGCCGGGGGAGACATGACAGCAGCGTTCCAGTATTTGAGGAGCTGTCACAGAGGGGGGGGGATAATCTATCCTCCAATGCCCCCCCCCCAGGGAAGGACAAGAAGCAACGGATGGAAACTAATAATCAAGGACAGAAGCAACCTGGAACTAAGGAGGAATTTCCTGCCAGGGAGAACAAGGGATAATTTGGCTTCCCTCCAGAAGTTGTAGGTGCTCCATTATTGGAAGGTTTTAAGAAGAGACTGGACAACCATTTGCCCAGAATGATATGGGGTTCTCTGCTTGGGCAGGGGGTTGGACTAGAAGACCTCCAAGGTCCCTTCCAACTGTGCTATGCTGTAATAGATTCCATCCGACAACTGTGTCAGTTTGGGGGGCGTTCCTGGGGCAGCTCACTGGGCATATTTGGGGGGGACCCCATGTAAATGTGGGTCAGAGGAATGACCCCCAGCGGCCACTTGTCATTGTGAGAGCAGCCAGGCTCCGATGTGGGTCCCGGGTAAAGGAAGCCGATCGGGAACATCCACGCTGAGATCCTCTGTTTCGCTGCAATACTGCTGGATGGTGTTTTCAGAGCGATCCAATATAAAGGCCCCAGGGGATCAGGAAGATTCCCGCCTGATTTCCAGCACCCGGCGCCTTTTATGCAAGGCTTGCTTCGAGGGGCGGAGGGGGTCTGCGGGCCTCCGCTGGGACCGGCTGCTCCTCCCCCCCCCGCCGGCCCCTCCAGGGGGATCCGGGAGCCGCCACTGCAGGGCGAGGGGCCGGGCTAACTTTAGCCCGGGCTAATTTCAGGTCGTTTATTTTCGGGGTGCATCGACCTAGATTAAGTTCGGTTTGGGCTGCAGCGCCCCGTCTGGTCTTCGGGGCCCGAAGGAGATCGCAGCCTCGGCCGTCGGCAGCCCCGGGACAGCCAGCCGCGGCTCCATCGGCGGCGCTTGAAGCGCAACTTGGCGCTGGCCCGGCCTGGAGAGCGACGGCGCCGTCGAGGGGGGAGGGCAGTCTACGAAACCAGGGCCGTCCACCCCCCTCCCCCCCCCGCGAATCTCTGTAGCCGAAGGAAGGGCTGAGCCTCGGGCTAGCCAGGCGTCTGGACCAACCCCCCCCCGCGGGCCCGGCGAAGGCAGGCAGGCAGGCAGGTGCGATCCACAGCCGCGCCCCGGGCTTTCCTCCCCCTGCTGCGACGGTGCGCTGCGCAGTTCTGGGGGAGGATGGATCCTGACCCGCCGGACGCAAGACTACATGTCCCATCTGCGTGCCAGCCCAGGATGAGGAGGGCCGGGGCAGGAGGTTGGGCGATCTAGCGGGAACTCCGGCATTCCCCGCCTGGGCTGGAAGAGCGCGGGGAGGGGGCTGCTCTAACCGACTGCGAGGTCCCCCCACCACCAACGCCCGAGCAGCATTTAGCACGCCGGGCCGGTTCCTCCCGTCTCGCTTCGGACTGTCTGCGATTTAAATAGCAGCGTCCAAATTAGCAGCGCTCTGCTGGGGCTCCGGCACCTGCTGTCCCGCTCTCCCCGCCCCCCCCCCCCGCCGCCCTGGGGCAGGAGGCGGCAGCTGCCTTGCTCGCGGGCCACGTGGAAGCCTCGCAGCCGAGGCCCCTCCAAAGCGGCGGGGAAGCGCCGGCTACTGCCGGGGGAGTCCGAGGCGGCGCTCCAAAGTACCTGCCCAGGTTGCCCCCCCCAAAGACGAAGGCGGCGCTGGGCGTCCCTTACCGACCTCAGGAGGGCCCGGGACAGCTGGGGCTGGCGAGGCGTGGGGGGGGGCGGCGGTGGCTCCGCGGGGTCCTCTGGGGCAGCGGACGGGGGTCCCCTTCGCTATCATCCGGGGGGAGCCACGCGGGAGCCCACCAGCAGCGAGCCCGGCCTTTCGCTGGTCCGTCTGTGGACAGTTATGTTCCCCAAGGAAACGAGGCCGCGGGGGAAGAGGGGGGGGCTAGGAAAATATCTGCTGGATTTCTAAGTAAAGTGCCAGCCGTTTATCATCTTTCCCACCAAAGCGAAAAACAGGGCTAAAATAGGGGCTGGGGGGGTTCAGAGCGTCCTGGTGGTTCTGTCTCTAGACGGGGGGGGGGGGGGGGGGTCTCCAACGGGGGGGGGAACCTGCAGTTTGCCTTTTAAATCCCTGCTGTTGCCTCAGTGGCTGAGCTGCGTCCAGGCGAGAGGAGCTGTGCCCCCCCCTCCTCTCTGCATCCCGGCTGGCCCATCCGTCCCTCTTCCCTGCTGCCAAGGACGCCTCTCCAGGCACGGCCTCTTCTGCCCCCCCCCCGGAACCATCCGAGGCCCAGGCCCCTTGAGGCCGCTTGCCAGAGGGCGGTGCAGGCTTTTCCCCACAGAGACCCTCGAGCCCCCCAAGGCTTCCCCCAGGGCTCCAGGAGGAGCCACAGCCCGGGGGGGGGGGGATGACGAGGCCCAGAAGCCTGGCCTCTCCCTGTGGAAGGCTAGGGAGCCCCACCCGACCCGACCTGGGCAAGCTGGCTCTCCTTGGTCAGAGCCTTCAGGGCTCCAGGGAGGGATCACACCCCATGGATGCTTTGTGTATTTGTGTATTGCTGTTGGTTTGGGTTTGTTTGTTTTGTTTGTGTCATAATGCCACTTGACTTCGAGTTGCTTCTAATCATATTGTGTTGTAAGCTGCTGTGAGACTGAAAAGATTTGGCACACAAACATTTAATGGATAACAACAATCACGTTGGCACTGTGGAGAAAACGTGGGTCCCTGCCCTGGGCCCACTGGGGCAACGGCCTCCCCGGGAGACTTCCAAGGACTCACAGGGGCTGCCCGGCTGGCTTCCCTCTGCCCAGCTGCCTCTCTCGCCCCACTAGGGCCAGCTGGCCGGGGGGTCCCTTCCATAACTCACGGGACCCCAAGCCAACCCTGAGAACAGAACCCCAGCTTGGCCCAGGGGAGCCGCCCTGCCCTAAGGATCCCCACCGTGGGCCAAGCAGCAGAGACCGTCTGCACGCAGCCCCACAGCCAGACGGTCCCTGCCGCCCTGCCCTGCCCATGGCTGCCCCCCAAACCCTCCCTCCCTCCCTCCCTGCGCCTGCCGTGCCTGGCCCTCTCTGCAGGGCTCCCAACCCCCCTGCCACTTGCCTCCAACGTCCCCCCTCCTCTCTCCGACACATTCCCCCTGCTTTCCTGCCCTTCTGTAGCCCCCCCAGAGTCCTGCAAACTTGCGACTATCTGAAGCCCCCCCTGCCGCCCTCTGTGCACCTCGCGGTTCGCGGGGGGAGTGAGGCCCCCTCTGAGCCCCCCCCGCTGGGACTCTGCCCTCCAACAGCCAGAGTGTATGACCCAGATGGCCAAGGGCTTCCCCACCCCACTGCGTTTGCAGAGCCTCCCCACAACAGCCGAAAAGAGACCACTGGGTTGTACCCCCCCCACACACACACACAAGGCACTGCCCCCACCCGGAGAGTCTTGCAGTGAAGATGCTGGGCTAGGAGAGGGAGACCCAGCCTCTGCCCCCCTTTTGCCCACAGACATTGCTGGGGAATTGGGGGGTCTACTCTCTGGCTGGCTGCCCCCCAGGAGGGTGGTGGTGGGAGGCCTGCGCGTGCCCCCTGGGCCCCTGGAAGGAAGACGAGCCATGGAGGCCCGGACACCCAGTGGCGGAGGCGGTGGCCAGAAGAGCCGGGATCTAGCTGGCACTTGGGGCTGGGGGAGGAGGGGAGGGGGGGCTAGAGGCAGTGCAGCAAGCGCAGGGCGTAGTGCACCCGCTCGTGCAGGGGCAGCGTCCAGCCCTGCCGTGCCAGGGTGCCCAGGGGGAAGGTGGTGCTGCAATGCTGGCGGTCCACGAAGGTCAAGAGCTCCTCCCCCTTGGCCGAGCAGCTGAGCACAATCTTGGTGTGGTCGTGGTAGAAGTTCACCTGGGAGAGACAAGGGGCGGAGGTCTGTCTGCAGGATTGGGCCAGGGGAAGCTGGCACCACCCTCCACCCTTTAGGGGGAGACCCCGACTCCCCACGGAGGCTGAGGTTTATCCAACTTTTGAAAGGGGGGGAGGGGGAGGAAGGCTGCCCCCTTTGGCTCCTTGGCTCTGTTCTGCTGCCGTCCCGGCTCCATGCACTCACCGAGACCGAATCCCAGGAATTGTGAGGTTGGGATTGACACAAGGCAGCATCAAGAAGTTGAAACCAACACTGCCCCCCCCACGCACGCACACCCCAGCGGCCCTTTCCCCTTCTGGGAATCCAGTAGAGCCTCAGAGGAAGAAAGCCGGAGAGGGAGGGGGCCGTGGAGATGGTGCAGGCACCGAGAGGCTGAGACGATGCGCAGAACCCGGGTCCCCTCAGCCCTCCTCCAGGTCCCCTCAGCCCTCCTCCGTCGCTTCTGCCTTCAGCCGCATTTGGCAAACCCCTCTGGCTGCCTCCGAAAGCCGATGTTCCCATTTGAACAACTTCCGCATTTCTCTTTTTGACCTGTTTTGTGGCTGCTGGCTGTGTCCAGCCACCGGAGCAGCATCGGCCGCTGCCTGAGGCCCTTCGCTTGTTCCAATGTTTGTGGCCGCCTTGCATTGTTCCGGCCGGCTGACCCTCTGGGGGGCCAGGATGGGCCTCCAGCGTCCTTTGCTCGGCCTTTGCAGAGCCCAACCTCCCTCCCTTTGGGTGGCTTGACCTCAGGGCTGACCCCCGGCCTCCTCCACCCACCCTGGCCGGCCCACTCTGGCTGGGGGCAGGCTCCTCCTACCTGCAGGGTGCCATCACTGAAGAGCATCAGGAGGGCCGTGTCGGATTTTGCAAAGTGCAGGAGGGAAAGGTCCCAGGCTGGTCTGCTGGGGCTGGTCTGCCGTGGGGCCCCCTGGCAAAAGAGGCAGGGTCGGCAGGGGCCCAGCCCCTGCAGTGGGGGTGTCCCACAGCCCCCCTCCCTCTGCTGATCCATACTCTGCCCCTCCCCTCCCGGCTCCTTACCTCCTGCAGCCACCGCTGCATGTACTGGGCGAAGAAGCGAAGGACGCTCCACTTGGTGGCCAGCCAGGGGGGCACCTCTCGCCACCCAAAGGACACGGCCTCCTCCGCCTCGCTGTGGTAGCAGATGCGCCTGAGGGGGAAGCCAGAGGGGGCACTGCCGCAATGCAGGGCGGGCACCCCAAGTGGCCCTCGCTGGAGCAGCTGCAGCCCAGAGCGCGAGGTGCCGAGCAGGCAGAAGAGGCCGGGCCAGCTGCCTTGAGCACCTGGGGGTCCCCCTCTCTCCAGGACCCCGACCTGGTCCACTCTGCCCCCCCTCGCCCAGAGGGCTTGGGCCTCCGTTGCCCTCACCCAAACCAGGGCCCGTGTGGCAGTGCCTGACTCACAAGGGGGAAACTCACTGGCGCTGAGGGCAAAAGGCCACGTGGGTCCCATCGGGGAGCAGCACCGCGGTCGACCCGTCGGACAGGAGGTAGCCGAACCCGAACCTATTGGAGTAGTCCACCCACTTGGTGGCCATGTGGGCAGGACTGGCACCGGGTGGCAGGCCTTCGGGCAGTTCTTCCACTGCAGAGGGAGGGAGAGAGACGCCCTCTGCTCAGCCCAAACTGGGGGGAGGCCCAGCACCCCCTGCCCACCCACCCCTGGCCCTATCCAGTTTCCAGTCCTCCAAGATTAGGTGTGGGTCTATTCTAGAAAATTCCCATGGAGGTTCTGTGCCCAGGAGAGCACCGGAGCTCCTCACCTGGCACGGTGCCCAGTCGCCCCTTCCCAGATGGGCAGGATTTACTTCTTTATCTATGCAATATAAAATGGCCTTGGCTATCAACAAATAACAGTGCAGAAACTGTAAAGCCTCTCATGCCACTCAGGCCTTCTGGAAGGGGAGGGGGCTGGGGGCAGCTCCAGAGAGGTCTTACCCTCCCCCAGGACTCCCAGATGACAGTACGGAAGGGAGGGGAGCTGGCACAATATGGCCAGAAGGGTCGAAGCCCCCCAGGCGGGAGGCTCCCAGCCTTCGGGCCAGAAGGAGCAGCAGCCGAGGGTCTGGCAGGCCGAAGAGGGGACCAGGCCCCCAGGAGAAGGCAAGGCAGACCCCAGGGAGACTGGGGGGGGGGCAGAGGGGCAGCAGCCTCACCGAGTGGGATGGTCTGCAAGCAGCGGCACAGCCTTCGGTCCACCCTCTCCAGCACTCCACCGGGGCCCCAGTTGGCATCTGCCAGGGAGGAAGGAGACGGCAGGGAGGGAGGAGATGGCAGGGAAGGAAGGAAGGAAGGAAGGAAGGAAGGAAGGAAGGAAGGAAGGAAGGAAACAGGGGTGGCATGCCCGCCGCCCTCCCTGCACCCCCACTCACCTTCGGGCAGCCGGCTGCGCAGGGAGCCCCTCTGCAGCAAGAGGGGGGGAAGGCAGTTGGGCTCCTCCAGAAGGTCCGGGCTCCCCTCTTCGGCTTCCTTCAGGGCCATGGGGAGGGGAGGGGAGGGGAGGGGGGGCAACGCGAAAGCAACCCATGAATCCCACAAAGCAGCCATCCCAAAGCCCTGCAGCTGTGACCTTTGGCAGCCCCCTCCCCTCCTCCAGACCCTCTGCTGCAAAGGCCGGGCCGGTGGGGGAGCCAAGAGGAGCTCAGTGGGGCCCCAATTTAAAGGGAGGTGGTAGAAGAACATTGCAGAAGCTGCCACCAAAAGGACAGGAATGTTATCCCCATTTGGCAGACGGGAAGACTGAGGGGAAAGGACCAGGGCTCCAGGGCAGGGAAGAGAGGCGGCCGGAATGGAGGGAGGTCCGGCCGGTCAATCAAATCAGTAAATGCACCATCAGAGGAGGGAGGGAGGGAGGGAGGGAGGGAGGGCCGGTGGTAGCTAACCACGATCCCAGCAAAGTGGGAAGGACTGGTTTCTACTGGGAAAGGGACTCAATCAGCAACACCAACCCGCGTGACTCCCGCGCTCTCAGTTAGCGCCCAATCAGAGTGTGAGAGTCGTCTGAATGATCATGGCGATAACGTGATCATGAGCTCCAGAAAACTGCAGGAACCTTTTAACTGCTGAAGTTTGACAAGACCCCTAACGCAGCCGGGGGTGGGGGCTTTCTTACCCAGTGGGGAGGGGCAGCGGGTCCCAATCCTTGCAGCCGTGGGGCTTCCTCCTGTTCTTGGGGTGCAGGGCTCACTGGGGGGGAGGGCAGCAGTAGAGGGACACGATTAGATGGTAAGCCTGCCTTCTGTAGTACACGGAGGACTAGAAACCTAGTTTGATAGCTGCAAAGGGACTGGGAGGAGAGCAGGAGACTTGTCTCCCCTCCCCACTGTCCTCCCCCTCCCTCTGCCAAATTCCCCCCTCCCCCCTCTTCCTTCCAAGAGCACTCACCAGCCTGGGGGTCCTGGCAAGGGGAGCCCCCCCGGAAAAGGAACATGGCTGCTTTCTGGAGGAATTTTCCAAGGGGGTTCGCGAAAGGGAAAATGGGGGCAGAGTGAGAAGCGCGCGAGGGGAGCCTGGCAGGGGTGAAGTGCTGGGGAGAGAGGCAGAACGGAAGCTGAATTATGCTCCTGCCCAGGACCCTCCACTCTGCCCTGAGTGACAGCTGGGGAGGGGTGGGTCTCCAGACTCCTTTTGAGGAGGGGCAGGCAGGCGAGGGCAGGGGGCAGACTCCGAGTGGGGGGGGCTGGGAGAGGAGGGCCCTGCCCCTCAGAACGGATCACTGCCAGGAGGGTTCGGTGGGACCCACACGGCGCCTCTGAGCCCAGCCCCAGGACTCCACTCACCAGAAAGAACCCCACCCCCTCCGCTCTGGAGGGAGCCCAGCACAGCCCTCGGGCCCAGGGACGCCTGCCTTGCGAGGGGAGGGGGCAGCAGGCCAGAGGGAGCCCCTCCCTGGGTCAAGCTTCCTCCAGGCTCTGAATTTCAGGAGGGCCGTGTAGGCGCTTCTGTTGCGCTTTTGAATCCTGTGCGGACTTTCTTTCGTGCTCACACTGTTTTAATCCTGCTGGCTTTGACTGATTAAAAGTTGCTTTAATAGGGGCTTAGAGATGATTTTGTAAGATGTAGTATTATTATTGCCTATCGCCTCCTCTGGCGCCCCTTGGTTTCCCCTCCCCCCTGAGGGGCTCATAGCATGGCCACCTCAGGGGGGCCTAGAGAAGGAGCAAAGGGGTCTCTGTGAAGGAGGAGCCCCCCCCCCCGGTCCCCTGAGGAGAAGCCGGTCTTCAGAGCAGCCACGTCCTCCCCCAGGGGGAGCTGGCTGCATTCGGGGGACACACACACAGACGTACCAGCCTCCCTCTCCCTCCCCCGCCCCGACTTTGGCCTTTAATCCAAAGGGCAGCTGCGCACACCTGGGTGAAGAAGGGGTGGCGGATCGCCTCTTCCGGGCTGGGTCGGGCGGCTGGGTCCGGGGCCAGCAGCCTCCCAATCAGGCTGCGGGCGGCTGGGGAGAGGCGGTCGGGAAGGGCGTAGCGGCCCTCTCGGATCCTCTGGAACAGCTCCTGCTTGTGCGAGATCTCGAAGGGGGGGAAGCCGGCAAGGGCCGTGTACCTGGGGAGAAAAGGGACAGGCAGACATGCCCTGACCCCCCCTCCACGCCCAGAAGGAGCCCCCCTCCCCGTGAGCAGACCCCTGAGCATTGCCCAGCCTTTCCCCCAGAGGAGCGAAAGGAACCCTTCCTTTGCCGTGGGGATCACTTGCATCAGGGATCCCCAACCCCCGGTCCGTGGACCAGTACCGGGCCACCGCATGCCAGCCACGGGGCCGCACAAACAAGCAAAGCCCCATCCACAGGATGCAGGCAGCACACAAAACCACGCACCCTCCGGTCCACGGAAAAACCTCTCTCCAAGGTCCCCGGTGCCCAAAAGGTGGGGGGCCTCTGACTTACATGATGCAGCCCAGGGCCCACATGTCTGACTTGAAGGAGTGCCCCTTCTTAGCGATGACTTCGGGGGCCAGGTAATTGGGGGTCCCACAGACCACTCTGGGGAGAAGAAAGTTGAATTCAGAAATGTGCCTGTTGCTGCTGGGGGAGGGGGGAGGGGTGTCAGGTTCCCTATGACAGCATCCCTTGCATCAAGCATTGCTGGAGGAGGAGGAGGGGGAGGAGGAGGGGCTTGCCTATTCTGGCACTTGGGAACTGGCCTCCCTCCCCTCTCAGGCTCCCAGCCGGCAGGGCTGCTGCTCTGTGGCTTCCCAGGCAGCTCCTTCACCTGGCACAGATGAATCTGGGCAGCGTCACCAGGTGGAAGAGGCTGCCCTGCCCGCTGAGACTGGCTTAAGGCTGCCATCCTGCTGGGTCTGAGCTGCTTCAGCCAACCACCTCCCCCCCTTGCCCCAGGGGTCCTGGCCTGCCCCCCCCCCCACAATCGAGCACTCACCCTCTCCTCCGGCACGCCCGCTCCTCCCGCCTTGCCAGGCCCAGGTCGCCAATCTTCACCTGCATGCGCTGGGTGATGAACACGTTGCCTGGAAAGGGAGGGTGTGGGGCAGGCGGCGGTCTGAGGGCGGGTCCTGACTGTGCCTGCCCTAGAGCTTCCCTGGCCCCCAGCAGCAGCCCAGGGGGCTCCCAGCGCCCTCATCCGCCAGGCAGGGTGGAGCTCCTGAAAAGGTCCCCTCCCCCTTGAAGGCTCTTGCCCTCCCCCCCCCAGTGGCCTGATCTTCGCGCCCCCTCCTGCCACCCCAGAGGGAGGGCCCCGGGGAACAAGCAGAGCGGCCCCTCCCTGGGTGACGGGTGGACCAGCCTCTTCGGCCCACCCCCAGGAAAGCAAGCTGGTCTCCAGTCTGAGGCAAGCCTGGATAAATCAACCAAGTTCTTGGTCTGTTTCCTTTTTATTCTCTCTGTTGTGTCCTTGCCTGTCTTTCCCCCCCCCCAGCCTTTTTTATGATTTCGGTTGTTGTCTCTGTGCTGGGCGGATGGCATACAAATGCGATTGGTAAATAAAGGAAGATGGACTTCAAGCCTGCACCAGGAATGGCGATTTCCCAGGAATTGGCCTCTTGGAGCCTGGGGCAGACTGTGGGTCACTGCCCAGCACTGGGGCTACTCTTGCCCCCCCCCTCCGCCCCCCCACGCCCAGGGTCTTTGCCACCTACTCAGTTTGAGGTCACGGTGGATGATCCCTTGCTGATGCAGGTACTGCAGGCCACTCATGATTTGCTTCAGGTAGAATCTCACCTCTGGCTCCGTCAGGACTCTCCGGACCTTCAGAATGTGGGCCAGGGACTAGGAGGGAGAGATGGGATGAGGAGGAGGAGGAGGGGGGGAGGAGGAGGAGGGGGAGGAGGAAGAGGGGGCTCACACAAGGGGCGTGCGGGTCTCCCCGCAGAACGAACAGCATGCCTGTGCCTGGGGCTGCCTTTCACAGGCCTTTGGCCAACCCTGTCCTAGTAAGGCTTCTGACTACATCAAGGTTAACTCAGACTTCGCCTCAGTCTTCACACAAAGAGATACTACAGCCCATCATACACAAAAAATAAAAAAACCACTGCAAAAGACAAACTTGAAACAAAAATTAAAATGAGCAAGGAAATGATAAGAGAACATCTATCCGACTTTGACGAATATAAATCACCAGGACCCGATGGATTACATCCCAGAATTCTGAAGGAGCTGGCAGATGTTATCTTAGAACCCTTGCACCACATCTTTCAAAAATCCTGGAGCACCGGGGAAGTACCCGAGGATTGGAAAAGGGCTGATGTGGTCCCTATCTTCAAGAAAGGGGAAAAAACGAACCCAGGAAACTACAGACCAATCAGTTTAACATCAATACCTGGGAAGATCCTAGAAAAGATAACCAAAAAACAGATCTGCGAACAACTAGAAGCAAACAAAATCATAACTAGCAGCCAGCACGGGTTTGTGAAAAACAGATCATGCCAAACCAATCTTATTTCATTCTTTGATAAAGTGAGTAAACTAGCAGACCAATTAAGTGCTGTGGACACAGTATACTTAAGATTTCAGTAAGGCATTTGATATAGTAGACCACATCTACTCCTTGGTAAGCTAGAAAAAGATGGAATAAACAACATCACCACCAGATGGATCTGTAGCTGGCTAACAAACCCTACTGTACGAGTAGTCCTCAATGGCTCTACATCCACACGGAGAGAAGTAAGCAGTGGGGTACCACAAGGCTCCGTCTTAGGCCCAGGACTCTTCAATATCTTCATCAATGACTTAGATGAGGGAATAGAAGGGGAACTCATCAAATTTGCAGATGACACCAAACTGGCAGGAATAGCCAACACCCCGGAAGACCAACTAAGGATCCAAAAAGATCTTGACAAGCTTGAACAATGGGCCCTATCCAACAAAATGTGTTTCAGTGTGGAGAAAAGCAAAGTTCTACATTTAGGCAAGAAAAATCAAACATACAAGTACAGATTGGGCGAGACCAGGCTTAAAAACAGCAACTGTGAGAGGGACCTTGGAGTCCTAGTGGACGATCACTTAACCATGAGCCGGCAATGTGCGGCAGCAGCCAAAAAAGCTAATACAATCCTGGATTGTACAAACAGAGACATAGAATCAAGATCACATGAGGTATTAGTGCCACTTTATAAAACCCTAGTAAGACCACACCTGGAATACCGCAGCCAATTTTGGTCACCATATCACAAAAAAGATGTTGAGAGTTTGGAAAAAATTCAGAGAAGAGCAACTAAGATGATACAAGGCCTGAAGACTAAAACATACGAAGAACGGCTGCAGGACTTGGGTTTGGCCAGTATGAAGAAAAGAATAGGGGAGACATGATAGCAATATTCCAGTATCTGAGGGGCTGCCCCAAAGAAGAGTGGGTCACGTTATTCACCAAAGCACCAGAGGGAAGGAAGAGAAGCAACTGATGGAAACTGATCAAAGAGAGAAGCAACCTGGAATTAAGGAGAAACTACCTGACAGTGAGGACAATTAACCAGGGGAACAGAAGTTGCCTCCAGAAATCGTGGGTGCTCCATCCCTGGAAGTTTTTAAAAAGAGACTAGACAGTCACTTGTCTGAGATGGTATATGTCAGTGATGGCGAGCCTTTTAGAGACTGAGTGCCCAAAAACCGGCCCCACCCCCGCCCACGCCCTCTGCCTGCGCCCCACAGCATCAACTGCACGAGACGGGGCGCAGACTGCCCAGCTGCCATGTCCTTGGCTGCGCTGCTCCGCGCAGGCCGTGCCCGGGTCCGACTTCCCTCCAGGGGGGCTGTTGGGGAGGAGGGGGTTGTGGGGGGAGGCAGGGCTGGGGTGACGGCACGCGTGCCCACAGAGAGGGCTCCGAGTGACGCATCTGGGACGCGTGCCATAGGTTTGCCACCACTGGTATAGGTTCTCCTGCTTGAGCAGGGGGCTGGACTAGGAGACCTCCAAGGTGTCTTCCAGCTGCATTCTGTTCTGTTCTGTTCTGTTCTGTTCTGTTCTGTTCTGTTCTGTTCTGTTCTGTTCTGTTCTGTTCTGTTCTGAGCTTCCTTGGCCAGCAGCTTTTCCCCTGAGCTCAGGTCATGCTCTGCTTCCGTGCTTCCTTATCCTGACCTCTCTGTGGGCTTCTTGCAAGGATATAAAACAGGGCAGGCAGAGAGAGAGAGAGAGAGAGAGAGAGAGAGAGAGAGAGAGAGAGGGAGGGAGGGAGGGAGAGAGAAAGAGAAAGAGAAAGAGAGAGAGAAAGAGAGAAAGAAAAAAGAAAGAGAAAGAGAGAAAGAAAGAGAGAAAGAGAGAAAGAAAAAAGAAAGAGAAAGAGAGAGAGAAAGAGAGAAAGAGAAAGAGAGAAAGAAAGAGAGAGAGAAAGAGAGAAAGAAAGAGAAAGAGAGAGAGAGAGAGAATGGCTCCCCCCCCCTAACCTTCCTACTGCAGTATTCCAGCACCAGGTAGATGTTCTCCTGGTCAGCGAAATGTCGGTGGAAGCCCACCACGTTCCTGTGCTGAAGCTGGCTGTGCAGCTCGATCTCCCGCTGAACCTGCAAAGAGTTAAGCCGAGTCACAAGGATAAGACGCTCCAGGCACAGGTGCGCATGCAAGAGAGAGCAGAAGTGCTAGAATCAGCTGAAACCCCCGCACACCTGGGCAGGAGAGCCAAAGAAGCCGTCCAAGGTCCACACTTGAGGGAGGGAAGGAAGAAAGCCGCGGGACGAGGGAGGGGAAGCAGAGACCCACTGAGCCCAGATGCTCCCTCTCAACTCAGCAGACATCTTCACCTCCCTCACTTCCCCCCCCCCTTCCTAAAAGGAAGCTGGCTCTAGGGGAGCCCTTCTCTGCCTCTTCAGGACTTGGCTCTCTGGGGGACCCTGTCCCGCCCCCATCCCTTCGGCCCAGAGGCTTGTCCATCTGGGAAGGCATCGTCCCTGGAAAAGACAGAAACTCTTTGGCGGAACTGAAGGACGCTGAAGAGGGGAAGGGAGTTGTGTGGACAGGGCTGGCCTGCAGGAGGCAGTCCAGGTGGGCAGCCAGCGCCTGACCTCTTGGTCGGTAGCCTTCAGCTCCTGGCTGGGCACCCTAATTCGGCTGGCCCCCAGTCCAGAGACAGGACAGCCCAGGGAGCTTGCAGTCGTTCGTTCATTTATTTATTCTATTCAATTTTCATGCCGCCCCTCCCCCCTAGCAGTTGACTGGAATAAGGCAGGGCTGGAGCTCCTTTTGTGGGCGCTGATCTCCCAGCAGAGGAATCTGGCAGAAGAACACAAAGCCCCCCCCCCCCCCAAATCCCACTTACCTTTCCTTGGTTGCCCAGCCTTGCCACTCGCTGTTGAGAGAGCACCTTCACCGCGTAGACTCTGTTGGTGGACGTGTCGGTAAATTTGTAGCATTGTCCGAATGCTCCCTGGTGGGGGGGGAAAGGCGGGGGGGGGGGAAGGTGTGTGTGTGGGGTGTCAGTCAGACGCAACCTCCTTCCCAGAATACTTGGCTTGTTCTGGGTCTGGAAAGAAGACCTTTGCTCCACCCACCCACCACCTTTTATCCCACCACAGGGTTGAAAAGCGTCTCTTTGGGTCGGCTTCTCCCCTCCCTGGGAAGGCGAGGAAGGAATGGCCAGCCTGTGCCAGCCCCTGCCCGAAGGGAGGCAGCCCCTCTGCCGCTGGGGAGGCCCGGGAGGAGACGGGCACACTTTGAAGGCGGGACTCGCCCTTACATCCCGCCCAAGGTTCCCGTCTTCTGGCTCTGCAGAAGAGCAGCCGATGTTAGGGCAGGATTTCGGGGGGGGGGGAGGCGCTCTTTCAAAGCGGGCTGAGAGAGGTGAGTAGCCCCCCCGGACCTGCGGCGGCGGCGGCGGCGAGAGCAAGCAGGACGTGGCGCTCCGGGCTCCCGGGGCGCGCAGGAAAGGCGGGCCGAGCGGAGGAGCCGAGCGGCTCCAGTCTGTCTCCGGGCTCCCGCCTGTGACCTTGGCCCGCTCGTCGCCTCGCGACTTGGAAGAGGAGACCGGCGGCTGCCCCGCCCGGCCGCCCGGCCGCCCCTTCCCCGCCGCCGTCGCGGGGCAAAACGCCGAAAGCACGCGGTGCGCTTCGCGGCCGCCGCTCCGGTCACCTTGCCGGGAATCCGGCGCAACCCTCGGAAGAGCCGCGACCGCCCGGAGCCCCGCGCAGCCTTCAGGGCGAAGGCGGGTTACCTGTCCCAAAAGCTGCCCCCGCTTGTACAGCGTCCCGGTGCCGGGATCCTCCACGAAGTATTTCAAGGTGTCCCCCTCGGCTCTCCTCCGGGCGGCGGCGGCAGTCAGACCCATCCCGGCCTCGGCCCCGCAGCCCACGGCCGGCCGCCCCGCCCTCCCCCCAGCTGCTCCCCGAGCGTCTGGCCAGCCAGGCGCCCCGGCCGGAGCTCTTATACGGGGCTGGGGGGGGGGGGAGAGGCAGGGCAGAAGGGAGGCGCCGCCGCCGCCCAGGCCTCTGGCCAGTTGGAAAGACCCGCCCGACGCCTCTGGGGGTCCGCGGGGGAGGGAGCGGCCCTCGGTCTCCCGCTCCCTTTGTGACCGGCGGGATGGCGGGGGAGGCTGGATTTGGAAGAGGACTTTTACTCCGGCGTCCGTCCTGCCGTCCCAAGAAGCCCCCGTCTCTCGCTCAGCCCAGGCTCGCAAGGGGGCGAACCGGGTTCCAGCCCAAAGCTACTTTCGGCTCAGTGGGGTGCGGGGGTTGGGGGGGGGGCTCCTGCTCGATCTCCGCCGGCGGCGCTGGCCTCTTCCTGACGCAGACCGTGGCTCTTTGGGAGGGGGGGAGCGGCAGGGGCAGCGGCCCACCACGACCCCGCACCATCCCAGGGGAGAGCTGCCTTCGCGCCCGGTTTCGGTCCAAGCGGGGCTTAGGCGGGCCAGTTGGATGACGGAGCGCCGCCCAGGGCAGAGGCAGGCAGCTGGCTTCAGACTAAGTAACAGCTGGAGGGGACCCTGGAGGCCTTCTAGTCCTTCCGGACAAAGGGCCGTCCAGCCTCTTCTTAAAAGCCTTCAGTTATGGAGCACCCACAATTTCCGGAGACAAAAGCCGCCCCACCGGATAATTGTTCTGTCAGGAATTCTCCTTAGTTTTAGGCTGCTTCTCTCTCCCCGGTTAGTTTCCATCTTCTTGTTCTGCCTTCAGGTGCTTTGGAGAACAGGTCAGAGCCCCCCCCCCCGCCTTCTTTGGGGCAGCCCCTGGAACACGAGAAGGCGTCATGGCCCCAGCACCCCTTCTCTCCCTTTAGCCAAGACCCGCTTTCTGCGACCGTCTTAGCCTCCGGTCCCCCGATCATCTCTGCACCCCGTCCTTCCTCAGCCTTGAAGTCGGGGGAGCTGCCCCGCCGAGTAGGAAGCGGCGCTTTGCCAGTCCTTTTTCTGGGGCTGCTTCTGCGGGATCGGTGGAGAGTAGACGCCACCCTAACCCTCCAAAGCTTAAACCCCCCCCCCCCCCCAGGAAGGACCGGGGGAGGGGCAGCTGCACCGGCTCAACCTGCCCGGAGATGCCATCCACTCGGGGTGATTTTTTTGCTGGGTCTCTACAGAGCCACCTTTGGCTGCTCACTGAGGGTGGGGTGGGGGGGCTGCTATCAGCACTTCCCCCTGGCATGCGCTGTGTGAGGGGGGAGGATGCACAGGCAGGGAACACCACTCGTCTTCCAAGCCAGAATTTGCCTCAGTCCCATCTGCAGCCCTCCTTACCCTGCCCAGCCCTCGGGCTTCCCATATGGATTTTGGGGTGGGGGAGATAAAAGGCAAAGTCTTCCTGTGGCCATTTGCCACACACACACAGAAACACACCCATGGCTGGGCTGGACAACATAAATGGCTGCCCAAAGGCTTGAAAGCAGCCAAGGAGAAAGGCAGAAAGATTCCTCTTCCCCCCCCCAGCTCAGAGGATTTTACACCCCCCCAGTATCCCCCTGCCCCAGAGCCAGCAGGCGGGAGGGGGGAGCTTCCAGCATCCCATGGACTGACAGGCACTCTGAACTGCTGTTCACCATTTGCCACAAGAGTCCAGATAAAAATGCAAAACATTTATTTGAGTGTTGTACAAAATGCTTCCAGTCCAAAAAAATGTATTACAAATTGCTGAAAAAGACACTGAGCATGCATATCTATAAGAACACAAAAACGACACAAGAGCATCCGGGTCAGTTTCCTCCCAAAGACACGATGCACTGGCCAACATTAGGTGCCCCCCCCCACCAGGAGTCCTTTCAGCTGTTCCCATTTTGGAAAACAAAACTCTCCAGAAAAAAAACAAAAAACAAAACACTGCTACAAAAATAGACTTCTAATAATAAGGAAATGGCCTTTGTATCAAGTCAATGCTCACCTCTCCACAAGGGGGGTCAGAAAGTGTATTGCTTGCAAAACGTAGTGTAATCCTGCAGGCCTGGCCCAGCGGCCCCAACGCTCCCCCTGCAGGGAAGGTGACGGGGGGGTGGTGGTTCAGGGCAGTGGCTGGAGAAGGGCTGGAGAAGAGCTGGGCCTTTCCCTGTCCAGTCCAGTCGATGGGGGGCCTGGCGGCCAGGGGATTTACTGAGGAAAGCTGCGGCTGTCAGCAGTGAAATTCAGAGGGGGTGTGTGTCCAAAAAGCCCCTTCCCATATCCAGTGTTCTGCAATTCTTTTCACAATGATTCACTAAACTTTAGTATTTCAAAGGGGTGTTAAGACATATCAATAATAATGTGTAAACATGGGCTTAAAATACATTTAAAGTCACATTTTGTTTAAAGTACAAAGCAAGGCGTATTTCCAGAGCAAATCAACCAAACCATGTCACAACCATGGATCTCCCAGTTAACCCTGATTGCCCCCCCTCCCGGCACTCAAGGAGAGAGGCCTTCCAGGGAGCAGAGCGAAAGACCCAAAGGAGAGAGAGAAATCAAGGCAGTCAAAACGCCTCTGGAGGGTCTCAGTCCTTCCTCCAGGTCCCGGCTGTCCCCCAAAGGTGTTTTTTCAAGAGGCAACTGGAGTTTCTTTGTTTTTCTCTCTGAAAAGACGTTTCACTTCTCGTCCAAGAAGCTTCTTCAGCTCTGACTGGATGGTGGGGAGTGGAAGGATTTCTATTCCTTGGAAGACAATCCTTCCATTCCCCACCATCCAGTCAGAGCTGAAGAAGCTTCTTGGACGAGAAGTGAAACGTCTTTTCAGAGAGAAAAACAAAGAAACTCCAGTTGCCTCTTGAAAAAACACCTTTGGGACAATCAAGGCAGTCCAAGTATGCCCCCCACCCCAAGAATCTGCACCTCGATGTGTCCACTATTAGCATCCATAAACTGTGGGGAAGGGGTGTGTGTGTGTGTGTGTGTGTGTGTCCGGACCTGTGTGGCTGAAGAAAGGCAGGCAGGACTATTGGAGGGGGTGCCCTTGAAAGTATCCCCCCCCTCTGCTTCCTGTGGACAGATCAACGGGGGACCTGCCCAGCCTCTCTATGTTGGGAGGCCGGCCCCGATTAAGGGTCTGGGCGGGTGAAGGGGGGGGTCTGGGTGGCAGCTGATGCGCTGGGAGGCCAGAGGATGGGGCACAAGGATGGACTCGAGCAGACCCCTCCCAATTCTGAGCCACACAGGAAGCGTGGCTGTGGCCCATCCTGCCCCCCCTCCTGCAAACGGAAGGGGGGGGAATTATTTAGGGGGAGGGGATAGACAAGAATTTATGCAACCTGATCCCACCTCAAGTCCCCTTTTCAGCTGCAACACTGGGGGGGGGGGGCTGACCAGACCTTCTACTTCTAAAACACTTTTACATTAGTTCACATGGGTTATTAGCACCTCCTGGAGCACCGAAGCATCCCTGGAGGGCTGGCTGCTTAAAACGCTACTCTTGTGCTGTGGTTGGACTTCCTGTTCAAATCCTGCTTCAGCTAGGCACCAGGCTTCTCCTTTTTTAAATATCTTCTCTTTGATACCACTTCTTACCGCTGACAAAATGTCCTCACGCTGGATGGAGCTAAAGCCGCAAAGACATTGCTGAAGTAGTGGGGGCGATTCAGGTCAGAAGCCCCCTGGCACTCTTATGAATTTGGGGGATCGTCCCAAAGGCCCTTCCGAGCTTTTTCCGATCTCAGAGCGAGCGGGGTGGGGTGTCCGGTGGCTCAAAGGGAAGGTCAGTCCGGTCCCCAGGACAGGTGCCAGGGTAACAGCGGGCAGCCCAGTCCTTCCTTCCACGGGGCTGTCTCAGGTGATGGACTAGCGACTGGACCTTGGAAATGCAGCTGGCTGAAATTCTCAAGACTTGTTTTTTTTTCCCATTAAAATTTTGTTGATTTTTTTAAATAAATAAAATGAAGAACCGAGGCAGTGTGTTTCAAGCCTAGTGTCTGAAGAGGGAGATCAGAGCTGAACACAAAGATCACATAATTTTTAGGGTTCCGTGTTTGGGCCATGAGAGCTAACCAACATTAGGGGCCTGTTTGCCTGAAGGGTGAGGCATCCCGGCTGAAACGGCGTTGGGGACTCAAAGCACTAATTTAGAGCCCACCGCCCCACATAAAAGGTGGGCAAGACCCAATTTCAAAGGTATTTTTTCTATGACCTCCCAGCAAACGGCTGGTGGCGGGAGGGTCCCTTCCTTCACAGCGCCCGAGGCATGCCGGGCCCAGGCACGGAGGGCGAGGGCATCAGCTGGCAGGTCAGTGGTTTTTATGCCGGGCCTCCTCCCGATTCAACCTTATCCCGAACGGCGGAGGTGGCAGGCCAGGCGTGTCCCGTCTCCACCAGGGGCTCCGGGGCGGGGGGCTTCAGAGCCCATCCGGTCCTTGGCTGCCCACCCTAGAGGAGGCTCAGGGTGAGCCGCTCTGCTGTGCCCCTGCCGCGGCTGGGGGCTAAAAAAGCGGCCGCAGGGGCACAAGAGGCAACCGGCCCAGTTCGGACCAACCCGCTTCCTGCTTTTTAAAACTCAGTTCGGCTCAAAGTAAAAATAAACCATAGAAGACTTAAAAAAATAATTTCCCATAAACACAGGCGGAAGAAAAAAAGGGGGAGGTGGGAGGTAAAAGATGGTTTCCTTCCTCTCACATGAGGGCGCATCCCCTGGAGGTGGTCCTGGGGTCCCCCTAGGAGAAAAGGAAAGGCAGCCTGAAGAGGGGGGTCCCCCGGGGTCCCTCCACCCTGCTCCGGGGGCAGGAGAGAGCCAGGGCTCCCCCACACGAAAGGGGGCGGCTGTGTGTGGTTCGGAGGTCCTCTCGCCAAAGGCCCCCTGGGGTCCCTGCTGGGGAGGGCAGCCCCCCTACGGACCAGAAGGGGCCCCCGGGGGGGGTCACCTCCCACCCAGGAGTGGCTCGGCCTCGCTC